GAGCGGCGCGGGGGCTCATCACTGGCATGCCGGGAGGTGCCAGAGTGGCGATCGTACTCCCTGTGGTGCCGGTGCTCACGGTGCTGGGGGTAGTCATCATGCTGCCACGGGTCTTCATCAGGGGGCTCGTCATAATCGTGGTAGGTGTGCTTAACTGGGGGTCTCTTCTGTGAGGAAGAGTGGCCACCGTAGTGCCTGACCCTCTCCGCCCGCGCCTCCCTGGGCTTATCAAACCAGTCTGTCTCCTCCTGACCCAAATGATAGGCTTCGGAAACCAAAAACAAACCACAGTCAATCTCTCGCTCGAGGCTGCCCGGGCGGAAGCCATGCAATGAGTGGGAGAGGCAAGCAGCGGGCACGCGCGCAGGGGACAGCACGTGCCGGTGGGGACGGGACGCGGCGCAGCATGGCGCTGTGGGGCACCGTGCAGGACCGGCTAACACCGAACACCCGGGGTGGGGGGAGGAAGGCACGTGTCAAGCAAACTGAGGCGGTGAGAGTGTCTCTGCGTACGAGCGGACAGGCATGCCCCGGGGAAGTGCCATGCTCTGGGGTGGTCACCACGGGGAGCCGTTACCTTCGCTGTCTGAGACAACGCAATGGGCATCGTCCATGCCGTAGCCCTCCTCGTGCTTGTACGAGTGACTCCTTGGCACGTCTTTGATGTGCTTTTGCACATCAGGCAACGAATGGCTGGAGCAGAACTGGGAGCAGGGGTCCCCTGCAGACTGAGGGCCTGGCCCCCCCGCAGTGCGTGACCCCCCCACTGACTTCCCCAGGGGGCTGACGGGGCTCTCCTCCTCCGAGGGCTGCGAGCGCATGGGCGCCCGCCCGCGGCTCTGGCTCATGCTGAGGGATGAGGGCTTGGAGCTGACTTTCTGGGAGCGCTCCATGCCCTCCCGTTCATAGGACTTGCTCCGGCTGCCCATCTCCCGGCCAGAGGACTTTTCCACCCCATAGCCAGAGGAGCGGGTTCTGCTGCTGCTGGAGTAGACCCGCTCATCCTCATCCACCAGATCCCGGCTGGAGACGCCATAGTACTTCTGCTGCTCGTAGACGTTCTTTTTCAGGCCATAGGTGATCTCATCCTGCAGCTTCTTGGCCCTGGAGGCCACGTTGCTGCTGCCAACTGAGGTTGTTGCTGAGTAGGAGGCCAGGTCTGACTCCACGTCTTTGGCTTCTTCGATGGGTGAGAACTTGGAGATCTTCTGCTCCATGCCCTGCTTCCTGTGCTTGCTGCGCTTGGAGGAGATGACGGCGGGTGCCAGGTTTTTGGATGAATGCTTCGGTAGTGGTGTGCCAGAGCCATGCTTGTCCACCCGTGAGGAGTGCCGGTATTCACTGTCCCCATAGTAGTAGCTCGAGCTGGTGGAGCTCCCTGACACTCTGCCATTGCTCTCTGTGCCCCGGTAGTAGCTGTTCTTCCCACGATAGTCAGGGCCATGGTGGTCGTAGATGTCCTCCTCAGACTCCTCCTCAGCTTTGGTGTAACAGCAGGGCCGGCTGGAGCTCTCGGTGTCCCCCAGGTCACTCTTCTCTCTGACGTGGCGGCTGTCGACGCTTGTGCCCACCGGCTCCGCTTTGTGCCCCTCCACCGCTGGACTCTCCTTGGTGAGCTCGCTGATGTCCTCAATCATCACATAGTTACGGGGGATGTTCTGCTCCAGGCTGGTGTAGAGGGACTCCGAAGAGTAGCTGGCCGAGGGGCCTGGTGTCGTGCTGGTTCTCTCGGCCGGCCGGGTCTCAGGCGCCTTGTACTGCTCGTAGCTGCCACTCGCCGGTGCGGTGCTGAAGGTGACGTCAGGCACGGCAGAGGAGCTGGTGGCTGCGCTGATGACCTCGTAGTTGGTGGGGATCTTCTGTTCCAGGTCAGCCAGTGAGGTCTGCCGTGGCTTCTGGTGCCCGCCAGCTAAGTCTGCTGGGCTCTGATAGAGGGTGGGCTGTGCTGCTGCCGGCACGGCGGCTGCCCCGGCATAGGCGCTGGGGGCTTGGTAGGGGTTTGGGGGCTGGAAGCCTGGCTGGGCTGGCGTGGC